GTAAGTGCCAGGGCATGGGGTTTAGGGCTTTGTTTGGGTCTCTACCGTAGGGCACTTCAGAGCCGCATGCTCCAGAATTGGTGTCCTAACGTGACTCCTTGCCTCCAAGCCGGTTTGCGAATTTTCCGAGATTCATACGTACATCACATATGCTCCATGCTTGTGAATGGGCGCACGTTTTTCGATGTAACCGCATACAGGATGAGGCCTTGGTGCGACGTGAAAGATGTGATATTGCACCGGGGCAGCACAGGACGGCATCTCAGGATGTCTTCAACCAGGCGGATGAAACACATCACGTGGTTTTGTGTCCATGCATGCCCAGTGACAAGTGTGTACACACAGTCATAACGTTAAGACGCGAAATTCCGTCGAGCGTTTGCTTGTTGTTTGAAGACATGCTCTACAGTAAGGTATTTGTATCTCACTGTTCTTCTCGTCCTCTTCGTGCCTGCGTGCATACACCATGCATGCATTTGTGCGCGAATTTATGCCTAGGCACATGCTATGTGTTTACACATGCCATGTACATACGTCAAATAGTAAAGACACATCTGTAGATGCATAAACAAGTTAGCACAAACACAAACATACTTACATGCATACATACATGCATACATACAGACAGTGTATATACAGGTATAGAGTCGAATCCAACATCTAATTTAACTTGTACGCACATACAAAGACATATCAGAGCTGATCCTATCGAACAAGGCCGATCTACCGGCTGACTTTATCTTCTGTACTTGCACGTTGTATATCTCATATTGCATACAATAGAGTATACTTGTAATCAACATCTAGCCTTTCGTTCACCTTACCCTGGCAGGCCCCAGATTGTTCCTAAACGCTGAGAACTCCGGTCCCCGACCCTCCAGATGAAGAGCTGGCATAAACACGGGATATTTCATGACAGGAAAGTCAGGCAAGTAACCGCTGAAAACCTGAACCTATGTTTCGCCTCTACCCCAGCAAGCAAGGAAGCCCCGAACAAAAACATAAATAAACCATTTCTGTCTCCCAAGCGGCGTCTCGCCACCTTCACTGGTTCAGGGCTTCATGGCCCGAAATTGGTCGAAATTCTAGATGCTTCGAGACGCAAGTGTTCTGCTTTGGGGATTTTGCCCTGTTGCGTTTTGCAAGCTTTCGAGTTTCGACAGGCATAAACTGAGTATGCAGTCGGTCTTTCAGAATCTCGAGGTGTGAGGCACCAATACCAGCACATCAATTTTCGCAAAGTAACACCAAGCCCTGGGGCTACTGTACTTACCTGGCGAAATGGAGCGTGGAAGGAGTCCCCAAATCCTCGTTTCTGCACAAGACCCACACTAAGCCCTGCCCAACCCATCAAACTCCGCAACCCACCTTAAATGCGATCAACAGCAGACTCTGCACAGCCTGAGGCTGTGCGCCATTGGACCTCACTGGTGGGGATCTGTCCTGTCCCGGCGGGGTGGGTTCAGCCGCGCGAGGATCTCAACAAACGTGTCAACGCTGCTTCGACTGCTCCAGGCCTGTAGCAAAGGGGGTCTTACTAGTACTAGTACTAGTGGTAGCAGCTGCTGTTGTAGTAGTTTTACTATTGGTATTCTTGTTCGCATTATTACTAATGTTACTGCCACTGTTGCTGTAAGAAGCAATGAACCCCAGTAGATCCTACGAACTCTGACCAACGATCGCCCCAAAAAGACGAAGCCTTCGGCGGTTCCCGCGGAGCCTCCTCATCCAGCCTGCGAGGAAGATACCGGTGGCATGTGGTACTGGGAGTGGCGCACTGGTGGTAGAGGTAACGATGACCGCACTGATGACAGCGAGGGCGCGATGGTGATGATGGTGATTGTGATGATGACCTTGGCGATGACCAACTTCCTCATCAACCGCATCTGCATGCGGTGCGGAAACCCACGCGATGGCCCGATAGCCTTACGAAGACCCCATGTTACTATCGTAGGGTCGTAGATGAAACAAACACAAACTTTTCCTTGCCAAGGCGCCGGATAATTGGAGCAGAGACCAGAGCCATGATCTCGTCGGCTGATCTTTGAGCCATTTCTGCTCTGGGCCGGCAGGGATGGAGTAGCTACAACTCTGATGTTGCGAAGGGGTAAGTGGCCTGTACGTCTGCAGTTCACAAAATTCAATCCGGAAGCCGGAATCCGGAACTGCATCACATTTAGGTGCTGCTCTTGCCCTGGCGCAACCTCACAACCCCGTGCCCTGCAGGGAGACAAACCCCTTCACAACACGTCTGGCTGTCCACTGCATGGTTGGTGCCCCGCTGGTCTCTTGAAGCTGACGCTGCGCTGCTGCCAAACTGCTTCGCCTCAGACAAGGCTGGACAAAAGCAAAGCCAAGCCCTGACCCAGAAGGCTACAAATCTCTCAGTTCTGAACACTTACAGAGACTTACAGTCGTTCTAGAGCAAAGAGCCAATGATCTTCTGACCACAAGATCAGGCCCGGTGCCTCAGACTTGGCCGAGGCACTACGGGACTTCTCCGTCAAAGGGCTGCAGATGCACAAGTTTTCTGGTCATTTTCGAAAAAGCTGAAGACAGGTTGAAGAAGATCTGAAGCCTGCACTCCTCCGCGCAATCCGTCTCGAAGCTGGGTGTCCGGCAGCTGTGCGATCTCACCTGGGCGCAAGTCCAGGGCAGCAAACTCGGAGGAGGTTTGGAGATGCCTGGAGTCACTTTTTTGACATGCTCATCTCTGTTTATCCAGGCCCACTCACTACCAGCACCATGCTGGGATCAGAACCCGCTAGGATCCGAAAGCTCCGGTCCTCTGAGCCCAGTGCTTCTCGCATGGGTTCGCGCTGCACCCACGCCTGCTCCTGCCGGGCACATACTTCGAGTCTCCGCATAACGGTGCCTTCAACACCGGCTGCAACATTTCGAAGAATCGTGGCAGCGCTGGCGTTCCACTTCACCATGCCAGAAGCCCGACTTTGAACCCTAAACCCTAAAGGCTGAACCCCTCAACCCTGAATTCGAAACCCTCGAAACCCTAAAGCCCTCCCCCTTTGAAAGGCCCCCCCCAAGCCGGCCGAGGTCCCAGCTGGCCCTGGCCAGCTCAAGCCGAGCCTCCTGCCTGGCCTCGCTCAGAAGCCCTGCCTGGAGTCCGGGAGGTTTTGGGCCCTCAGGGTTTAGGGTTTAGGGTTTAGGGTTTATAGGGTTCTAAGGCCCAGAGACTTGCAAGTTCGGGTGCCCTGGAGTAACGGTCCGCATCCGGGAACTCTGACAAATCCGATCACCCCTCGTTCCTGCTACAAAGCTTGACACAGCCAGCATCCAGACTGCAAAACCAGCTTTGAGTCCACCGGATCCCTCCCGAAGCTCAAGGAAGAAGAGCTCTCAAAGAGCCGCCTTTGTCTGCTCAAAGCTGGAAATCTTGGCCTGCGCCGCAGGCACGCAGAGGCCCCGTACTGTAAAGGTAGCTGAAATCTCGCATCACGTTTGGGGGCTCTCGAGCTCCGAGGAGGACTAGGACTAAGACTGAACAAAGTCGGGACTCATGGGGTTCAGTCGTAGCCCACGGCAGGTCATCGATGCGATGCCCATACCGTGGTTGACCTTCATCTCACGTCCCACAATGTGCCAAACACATGCCGGGGCACGACGTCAAGCTCAGAGACTCTACCTACTGAGTCTACCAGCACCCTCCCGGCGAGGGATAGCAACAGTTTTGCACCTTCGTTTCCTACTGCTTCCCGTGCCTTAGCACACCCTTTCTGCACTTCTGCTTGGAGGGGCTATGATCGCTAAAACCCCGAAAAGCACCCAAACTCTCACACCTCAGAACCGCATGACCCAAAGATCGCAAGCCCGCAAATGCCTGAAAGCCCACAAGCAGCCTCAACCATCGTTTTTGCAGGCGGGCTCTGAGGTCCACGCCTACCTCTACCGCCGAAGATGCACCGAAAGCGCAAGAGCAACCTCACAAACAGACCATGCCCTCCAAAAGCGACCCACTGAAAGGAACCCTAAACCCGGAACATAAGAGCAACCGTTAGTGGACCCCTTGAGGGCAACCCTTGAAGGAACCCCCAAACACCTCAAAGTTTCCCGTCGCCTGAGCCGCCACCTCCGTGGCGCTCTCGCTCGCCTGACCTCGCGAAAAGACTTTGCGAGGCAGAGCCCCTTTGAAGTGCTTTGGGGCTTTAGGGCTTATAGGGTTTAGGGTCTCCTTTCAAGTCGATTCGAGGATCCTCAGAGTGCTTCGATAAGGGAACCGGTAAGGGTTCACTTATTCGATGCTTCTTGTGTATATTCGTGAGCTTTAGGGTATATTTGCATACTTTCTATACTACACTACTACACTCCGGGCACTGCTCCTTTGTCACTCCAGGCGAGGCAGGTTGAGAGTGTCTTTCGCAGCGTTCGCCACAAGCACGCTTTCCGAGACACGAAAAACGCGCCGGGCCAGCTCGGCTTGACAGGCAAGGCCCTTTCCTGTTCGCTTTGCACATGTCTCACTATCCTAGCGAAGTCTTTTGCTTTAGTAATACGAAGAATCAAAATATAACAAGACATTCAACATCATATCATATGCTACAAGATCATGCCGCACAGGCACAAGTCCACACACCCAAACACACTTACAGTAGGCCAGCGAAGATGAAGCCGAAAGAGCATGAAGCCACACCACTCCTCAGAAGGCGCTTCCTTGCGCTTCCGGATCTGCATCTCCTCTCATTCCTCTCCTCAACAGTACAGCTGAAGCCCGTTAAGCTTCAGGCTGGAACTCTGCGCCGCACGACTGTTCAGCCAGCTGATGCGTTCCTCAATCTGGTTCTCACTCATGGAAGAACCGTGAGTGCTCGTCACGTCCACGTCCGAGGACCGGTAGTCGGCCTCAAGGTAGTGCCTGCCGCGCTCACAAACATGGTCGGCCATGTAAGCCGGCGTGGCATAGCCCACGGATTTGTCGGCACGCGAATACATGTGGCACAGCTGGAAGGTGATGGCTTCAAAGTCATCCACAGTGATTCCGCGCTTCACGAGCCTTTGGTCCATGTGCAGGATGTGGCACGGACGTGCCTTGAATACCTTGCTGCGAGACCAGGAAGAAACTCAAATGCGACGGCTCGGCATGGCTCGGCAATGCCCTCACTGGCCACTGTACCAGGAGGAACCTGTGCAGTGTCCTTTCCTTTGCTCTTGCCTTTGCCTTTATCGTCTTTCCCCTTCTCCTTTCCCTTTCCCTTGACATCTTGGAAGCCGTCCTGCATCCACAGGCGGGTCTGGTGACGTTTCTGGCCAACAATGATCACCAGCTTCGGGCTGTACGTGGGGCTGATGTTCTTGAAGGCACTGTCGAGCAAGTTGAGCTCCCGCTTCAGTACGTTGATGAACTGCCCATCAGAGACGCCGTCGCGGTAGTAGATGATCGTCTCGGGGAGCTTGTTGTTCACATTTCTCCACTTCTCCAGAATGCTTTGCGCCATGCTGGACAAGTCAGTGATACGCTCTTCGCTTTGGCGATTTCGCTGCTTTAGGGTATTCAGTGTGTACGGCGATTGCCCACGGATCTCGTGAAAGTAAGATGCATAGCTTGAGTCCACAGAACCCACAACTCCAGCCACGCTGATGCCGGCAACATTGTGGGTCACATCAGCACCCATGATCACGGTGCCCTCGTCCTTCCACAGAAGCGGGTGTGGCTCCGACAGAGCCACGTTGAAAGCCGCCCTAGACCCTGTGAGCCTTTCAGGAACTTTTGGGGCGACCTTTAGCATGAGGTTGTTGAGCTTCTTTTCCGCGTCCGCGATACCCTTCTTGCAGTTGACGAACTGCGTGGTGAAGGCGCCGATCTCGGTCTCTGTGATGAGCTTGACGAGCTTGTAGATGTGCTGTGTAATTGCCTCACTGTTGTCTAGCAGGATAACGAGCAGCTTGAGGTCCTTGTGCGCATGCGCCACCCTTTGGAGATCATCTCGGATCGCATTGCCCATATCCAAAGAGAAGGCCTCCCTGTTCCTATAGCAACGGAAATATGAGTAGAAGGCCTCTTGCGGCCACTCCACAAACTTCGCGTCTGCGAAGCTCATGCCCTTCGCCTTGCAACGCTTCTTGAACTCAGCCGCGAAAGAGCTGACATCTTCGTCACTGGGTGTGGACTGTGTTGTGAAGCACCAGAGGCCCCAGGAGACATTGAACTTAGGTGGGGAAACGGTCTTGAAACTGTTGGAATAGTTCGTGGAGCTCCACATGACATCGTTGCCATCTCGGAGCTTTGGCGTGTCCAACTGCCGGCCGGTAAGGGCAAGCATCTGGAAGTCTAGGTCAATTCCACATGGCTTCAGGGCTGCCGAAGGGCCTAGCTGTGCGTTTCTCACGGCTTGCAGTATCAGGTCCCGCCGCATGGAGGGAAGCATGGCAGCATTCCTTGTCACCTCCTGCTGGAACTCCGGCAGCGGCCTTCCCGATGCCAGGTTGTGTTCACCACCCATGACGACGACGAACTCCATGGGAATGCAGGTACGTGCGTTGCCCAGCTGGATGCAGGGCAGCTCCGGATACTTCAGGTCGATGTTGTGCTTGTGCCGGAAATAGGCGGCGACATCGACGTGGCCACCCATCTCTTCACAATCGAACTGATGTCGATTCGCGGGCTTGTCGGTAAGCCCATGCACCGGCTTGCCCTTGAACTTCACCTTGCCATATTCCGCACTGACCCTCAGCCCTCGCAGGCCAAGTTCTGTCCGTAGCGACTTGTGCAGGTTTTGGTATTGCCAATACCGCCGGACGACATCGTGCTTGCACTCCTCCGCACTGCGCTTGTCTCCAGGACGTTTTGCGAATTTCCCCAGCAGGTCAATGACCGACATTTCGGGAAGACCTACAGAGGGCACGAGGTTCAAGCTCAAGGTCGCGCGCGCGCGCGCGCGCGCGCGCGGGGTTCAGTTTGCCACCAACGTCAGTCCCGTCATTCACGAGCTCCACCTGGCCGCGGTAGCCGAACCAAATCTCGCGACCGTATTTGAGCGACACGGCGTCACAGATTAGCCGGCTGTCAGCGCAAATGACTTTTCGGCCCTGCGCAATAAGTTCCTCCCTCTCTTGTGCGAGAGTTCGGATGGCCACCTGCACGAAGTGCTTGTGTTCTGACATTGACGCCATGGCCTCCGCGGGGTCCTTGTTCACCTGCGGCCGGTGCAACCATCCAAGATTGATCTCACGGCCCTCGAACTTCACCTCCAACTCCAGCTGGCAATGCTTTCCGCCAGGTCTCGTCGGAGGAACCTTGACCTCTTGCCGCAGATCTTGAAGCGTAGTCACGGTCTTGCGCGTGTACAGCAAATTGTTGCCATCATGTAGCCAATCAGTATGCGGAATGCCTTTGAGCAGATCTTCCACCGCCTTCTTCCGCAGCCACTTTGGCACTTCATGCTCATCGTCGCCTTTTCTCTTTGGCATCTTCTTCGCATTGGGGTCCTTGTCTTTATCCATCTTGCTAAAGTCTATCCGCCAACAGCGCCGAACAGTGGCATCACCACTGGATCTCACTGACAGGTAGAAATGGTTGGACACGAGGCGGAGAGTTCCCATGCCCTTCTTTCCCAAGGCCAGCGGCGGAATGTCAAGGTTGCGAGTATCCTGTTCTGCTTCGATCATGGCAACGTTGGCTGCGGCATCAGCCTCCGCTGCATAGCCGCTGTCATCTGCAGGGAATCTCTGCGGAGCCCCTGCTCGCGCCGGAATCGCCGGAGACAGATGCACGGTCTCTGCAGCTTTTGGCCTGGCCTTCGCCACATCCGGGTCGGCTGCCTGCGAAAGCTGTCCAGCTGCAGGCTCCGGCGGAAGGGGTGCCTTGCTCTTGCCTGCGCCTTTGGCTTTGGACTTGGAAGTAGGTCCGCGGAAGTCCTCTGAGTTTGGCGGCATCGCTTGTCGAAGGCTGGGTGCTTGCACAGGTACGAGTGAAGAACAAAAAACACTGCTCAATCCCTCGCTAGGATTATGCGTGACATCAGGAAGCATAACGAGGGGGGTTCCCACAAGCTCACAGGTGTTTGCTTGCGGGAGCTAGAGATCTTCAGCCAAAATGATTCGGCAATCACAACTGGACAAGCGTTGAACAGGATAAGGAGGGAAGGCACAGAACAGCTTCACCTGGTAACAATTTACTTCTTATCTGTGTGCACATGGCTTTACCAGCTCAGCAATGATACTACCACGTGAACCCTTAGCACAGCCCTTGGCCTTTCAGGCTTCTGGATTCTGAACCCCCATAGTACCCTTAAAGTGGATCCGATTGTAGAATCCTATAGTACCCTTTAAAGGGGATGAAAACTTTAGAACCCCATAGTACCCTTTAAGGGGAGGCTCGAGGGTTTGTGAGATTGTTAGGTGCAGAGTCGCCAGCAGTAGAACTCTTCCGACATCGAAGCCACGGATCTTCGATGCCAAGGGCTGCTAACTTCCATGGTACCGGAAGCTTCTGCCACGGCCCAGGACATACATCAGTCCAGCAAGTCTAGTAACACAACATGAACAACTTGGATCTACAGCGTGCCTGTATCTACATCACTATATATATATATATATATATATATGCTCCCCCCCCCGTTGACAGACCGCGGCGTGCATACAGTGTGTTCCTGGCAAGTGACCCTGCTGATTAAAACCTGTTCGTGATT